CCATCAAATGTTCCTTTCTGGCCTTCAACTATAAATAGATTCATAGATGTTAGGGTCGGAAGGGACCTCAATAGATCATAGAGTCTGACCCCCTGCATAGGCAGGAAAGAGGGCTGGGTTTAGATGACCCCAGCCAGATGCCCATCTAACCTCCTCTTGAAGACCCCCAGGGTAGGGGAAAGCACCACCTCCCTTGGGAGCCCATTCCAGATTTTGGCCACTCTAACTGTGAAGAAGTTCCTCCTAATGTCCAGTCTAAATCTGCTCTCTGCTAGCTTAAGGCCATTATTTCTTGCGACCCCCAGGGGTGCCTTGATGAGTAGAGCCTCACCAATTCCCTTCTGTGCCCCCATGATGAATTTATAGGCAGCCACAAACTCGCCTCTCAACCTTCCCTGGCTGAGGCTGAAGAGGTCCAGGTGCCCTAGTCTCTCTTCATAGGGCTTGGCCTGCAAGCCCTTAACCATACGAGTGGCCCTTCTCTGGACCCTCTCCAGGTTATCCACATCCCTCTTGAAGTGTGGCACCCAGAACTGCATGCAGTATTCCAACTGTGGTCTGACCAGCACCCAATAGAGGGGCAGTATCACCTCCTTGGCTCTATTTGTCATGCACCTCCTTATGCATGATAAAGTGCAGTTAGCTTTTCTGATGGCTTCATCACACTGATGACTCATGTTCATCTTGGAGTCCACTAGGACTCCAAGATCCCTTTCTGCTTCCATGCTACCAAGCAGGTCATTTGAATTCATTTAAAATATTCAAGCCTTAATTGTGGAGTGACAGTCATCCCTCCATAATAGTCCTATTTTATTTTATCCGTCCCCAGGCCAAGTAAGATATTATTCTCTCCTTTCTTAAAAACAAATACTACAAGAATAAGTGTTTCCAAGACTTGCAAATGAGGCAACTTGTACATACAAACAGAGACCCCTTGTATAAAACACACACACAAAACGTTATGTGATTTCTTCCACCATGGGGAATCCTCCTGTAAAATAAAGGGTTGTAAAAGATCTCTCAAGTTAATCCTAAAACATCATTAGCCTCTCCTTATGTTGCACTGAAGTTTAATAAAAACATAACTATCACCATAATTCTAAACGTTTAAGGGGACAGGAAGGTCTATAATCAGCTGCAAATTCACCAAATATCAGGCTATGCTGCACACAGTCTGCTTTGCAAGGGAAGCATTGTCATAAGACATTACCTTTGAGTTAAGGCATTGAACTAGGAGTCAACAGACTAAGAATCAAGAGCCCTGCATTGGGACTCAGGGCTGTATACTGGGACAGGGAGCTTGGTGGCAAAGGGCTGTGTGCTGGGGACTTGGGAGCCATGTGCCAGGGCTGGGGGTTTTGGAGACAGGGGCCATATGGAGGGGGGTTTGGGGCTTGGGAGTGGGGAACAATGTGCAAGGACTGGGGACCAGAGCTGACAGCTTGGCCACAGGCCACACACTGGAGCTGGGGACTTCGAGGCTATACCTGACATAGCCACAGCAGCACTGGAAGTCACATGCCAGGTCTGTACCAGCATGTAGGGCTGGTACATGGTCCTAGACTTAGCACACTAAGTCCAAACTGGCACATGGCTTCAAAACCAGTGTGGGGGGTCCAGCTCAATCCAGTGCACTGTTGGGGAAAGATTTCCCATGGGGTCAGACATTTGGTGGTGGAGGGGAGATGGCGGGGGGGCGGGGCTTTAGGAGTCATGGAAATTAACTCTGACACTGCTCTCCCCACCAAAGTCTGGATGTATGAGGAGCCTTGTCTTCACAAATAATTTACACTCTGATTTTCCCCAGTTGGTTTGGGGGAAAAAAACTGAAAGTGATATGCAAGAAAATATGGTACACAAAAAGTTAGTTATTGATATGCAGTAGCACAGGTAAAAAGTTTTGTATTCATTTATCACATTTTTAGAAGGACCTCCAATGACAGTTGTTCAACTATGAGAAAAAAAACAGTAAAACAATGCTAAGATTCACACTGTACAATCTAAGGCAGTCCTGAAGGTTAGTGCCTACCAGGTGTAACCAACACTCATGGCCTCCCCCATTATAGCAACTTTATAATTAATGCCCTTTGTTTACAGCATAGGCTCAAGGGCTCCATTTTTATCTGAAATCCATTCTAAAGGTGGTAAAAAATGAGACTTGATGGATTTTTAACAGGAGGCTACCATGTATTAGCAAAATACGTATGGCTCTAGTTATCTCTTCTAGATATAATTCATATATAAAGCATTTCATGTCATGATTACTGGCATGAATATGAAACTGGTTGACAGAGACTGAAAGTTGTTTCCATCTGCTTGCTACTCAGTGGCCTCATTTTAGTGTGAAATGAGTTACTAGGGTAAGTCCAGCCACACAATGACACCAACTGGCAGTCCTAGAGAGCTCAGCAAAGAAGCCAAGTACTGATAGCCGTGGAGAATTAATTACTCTTTCACCTTCTACAGATGGCCCTACAAGTCTGAGGTACATGATGAGGACAGCTTGCACTGATGTTGCTTATGCTGTACTTGTTCTATGATTAAACAGAAGACTTTGGTTTCTACTGCTGACAATCTGGTCCCTTTCACAAGGGCTGAAATTTGTTTCTAAAAATTAAGCATAGATCAGGCAAGTCAAGAAAGGAAAAACATATTCCAGTTTACTCTAATATGCCAGATTTCTCTGGAAACTGGCCAAATAACTTTTTATGTACTGAGCTCTAGGTTTATTGCAGCTTCATAAAACACTTCAGATCTCATTAAAAGAGTGAACAATACCATTAAGTATCTGAAGCCAACCTGCAGCATTTCACTATACTAGAGTGACTGAACTAAGAGACAAGTAGTACTTGCATGGGTCTCTAACTTTCAATAACAATGCCATCTTGTGGAAAATGTAGAAGTAGCACAGGCAAGCCTATCCACCCACCACCTTTTGAGTTAACCAGGAGAACAGGAGAGTGACAGCAAATCTTCCTAATGAGAACAAGCTCATTTATGACAAAACCAAAATATAGACAGGGATGAATAACAGGTTCTTTTTTACATGGTAATCAGCAACAAGTAAAGTGGATTGAAATAGGAAGGGAATTCTCACCAGCAGGGGAGGAGGCTAGGGATGCATACAGACATTTGTGGGAGTTAGGGGGAAGTTAGATTGCATTAAAAAAGGACACCTGATCTAACTTAGTTTGCCCAGGTAACTTAGAGGTCTAGTAAGGTCCATCTAAGCGCAAACTGTACAGAAGTTCCAGGAAGGTTAGATTGGTCTAAGAATGGCCAACTTCATCTAAATGAATCCTAACTCTGAAGTAGTCTAATTTAGATTGGGTTGGCCATTTGTAGACCAACCTAACTTTCCTGAACTTCCATACAGTTCACAGTGCAGCCCCAGGAGTGGGAAAGTACAGCTGATAGTCCTAGCCCCGGAGCTGTGCTTTTCCTCTGGCACTGGGTTATTTTTAGCCCCCTAGCCGCCTCTGCTACAGACCACACCTCCCCATCTTGCAAGCTGCTCCTGGTACCAGATTTACCAGCATTTGTTGATGCCAGGTGTCACAACCCAAGGGTGTGATTTTGTGTGCGCGCGCTTCGGCACTGCTAAATTATTTCCCGCCACGAGGAGCTTTCTTTGCAAGGTGCAGTTGCAAAGAGAAAACCCCGGTGCAAAGAGGTCCACAACCATCTGGAGGAGGAGGACTTCACGTCTCGTGAAGAACTCTAAGCGCTGCGGAGCCTAACGGACCCAGCGTGTACCTTAAGAAGGCTATAGGGGTCTGATCAACCTCTGGCCTCTCCCCGTCGCCGAGCGCGATCCCTCGACGAACCCCTTCCCTGCGCGCAAGTTCCACGAAGCCTAGCAAACTTCGTGTGAGTGTGTCCAGAGCTCTTCTCCGAGTTTTCTTCGGTTGACACGACGGGCTCGCGATTTTACAGCCTTCAGCCGGATTGGGCTAGAGTTCGCGAGATTAGAACTCTTGTTCGCTCTTCTTTCCTATCTGTAACTGCAACTCAAGCAAGTTTTCCTGCCTGCACCGCAACCATCTACGGTGTAAGTAAAATAATCTTTAATCAACCGCTACGCGTCCGTGCCTAATTCTAGTCCGCCGGCCTGCATTCCCCGACCCGCGTGCCAGGGCTGCTGGCCACAGCCCGCCGCACACCCCCGAGGGCCTCGGACCGCTCCCGGCCCGCACACCAGGAACCAAGAAAAGAAGTCCCAGTGGGGAGAGATGCAGGAGGGATCCCCCACGCAGATGCTGTCTGCCCCCCTTATTCCTCCCACAGATCCTGCCTGCCCTCCTGATCCCCCTGTGGATCCCCAATCCCCGCTGAGCCTGCTTGCCTCCCAACCTCCCCAATCCCCCTGCTAGCCCCATCCTAACTTACCTTAGATCAGGTCACTAATTTTAACTCCATCTAACCTCCCCAAATGTCTGTACCCAGCCTAATTGTAGGAAGAAGAGCTGCTAATTTGAGTCAGTAAAAAGAAGGGAGCATTCTGTTTCCATCACAAGAGGCTGAGTTTCAGCCTCTGAAATCCATTCCCCATTGTTTGTACATGGAGTTGTAGCAACTTGCAGGAGAATGAGCTAAGTATCAGCTTGCATATCCTGAATTTTTTTTATTAGGCTTATTTGGTCCCATCAACACCAATTCCAGTTCTCATACCAACAAGTGGCAGGTATCATTTTTCAATATACAGTGAAACTCTGGGTCTTCACTGCAATAGAAAAAAAAAGATTATGCAGCTATGATAAAACATACTTCAAACAATAAGTGGACAAAGCACAATACCTGCAGGACAATAGATTCCTTGGACGACCAATTCCAGCTTCTGTAATAATGCTTATATTTACATCCTGTTGATTTACTTTGGGCTCAGGTCCATAAAAGATAGCTATGTGGATATATCTTTCCACATCCCAATTTAACTGACATATGCACATCACATTTCTGAAGAGTTTTTTTTCAGGAGCAAGATTTAAATAATCTCTTACCTATGTAGTAAGTCAGACATTTATGAAGACAACAGCCAACAAAAGTAGGCTCCAACACTAAAAAAAAAAAAAGTGTTTTAAGATCTTGGTACATATTAAGAATTCATTTTTTCATGCACAAATGATTTAATGATATTTTTAAAAATTTACAACCAGTTCTACATGTCAGAAAGTGTTAGTGCGCAAGTATACTGTGTAAAGAATTTGGTAAGAGGTGTAGAGAGGAGGTGAGTATATGTGCAATGCAAACAAGATTCATGCACTTCCAGAATCCAAATTGGGTCTTTTTCACATCCATGGAGCATTTGCTCATCTTTACTTCAAAATTATAAAAAAAAAGAAACAGAAACAGCTAGCTTTTTATTCATAAATATATAACAATTTCAAAATACTCTGCTGCCCATTACTCTACTCTGAAGAGCAAAAAAGCTAGAAGTAGGTTAGATGTCTGAAGAACTATACATACCAAACAGATAAAATCTCTCGTTGTTAATGCAGAGGCAGGATGCCAACATTTCCAAAATGACACTATAGATTAAGGAATAGGGATTGTATTTGGCAGCATATGTTATCCAAAAGAAGTAGAACCAGAATATTTCAGGCACAGATAGAAGCAAGCAATCATTTCAGGCTCTTAGCACAGGTACTATTGCTAAGAATGCTTCAGGATTCATCTGATGAAATGGATTAAAATATACCTCCTTGATCAAAAGGCAAGATTTTATAGCTCTTAAGATATATTAGGAGGGGAAGGGGGCGGGGGGGGGCGGGAATCTACAACCACCACATACAAGGCTGAAGAAAGATAGTGGCAGTCAGGAACTACCTACTAAATGGAATGAAGGCACCTATCTGACATTCAGATTTGGAATCCCAAGTGATAGACAACATTTCCAATGCCTAGAGTTCAAATTCAGAACACGTCAGAGAGATTGCTCATCAGGTCCTCAGATCACTACCTCGTTCTACGCACCCATGTGGACTTTCATTGATACTGTTGGGAAAGACTGGATTCTCTTGAATCTGGAGAAAGATTCAAGACCCTAGGCAAGAAGATAAAGATGTCTAAGATACAAGCAGCGCTCTCTTAATTCTCCCTGTTAAAGGGAAAGGCACCATCACTTTGTTCAGTACCATACGGTTCTGATAGCAAGTCAACCCCAAATTTTTAAGTTATATTTGGGCAAATTGCTACTTTTGAAAATACATGTTGATATCTGTAAGGTTTCTAAGCTGCTACTGCCCTTACAAAATCCCACAGGAATATCAATCACCCAAGAAAAAGGCACAAATGGCTGAATGCATTAAAATTCTAAAATAAAAAAAACCCCAAAACTTTTGTACCCAAAATAATTTTGCCCAAGATTCACCATATTGTCATCAACCTAAACTCCCATATCAATACATATCGCAAAAAATACCTTAATGAAATGGAAACCATTTATAGCCTTATACAAGGCCAAAATCCAGGCTCATTAAAAGGCCAAGTTAGAACTGCAGTTTTCAAATCAAATTTCATATGGCATAGGGAATCCAAACCCTGGGTCCAAAAAGCCCTAGTTTGAGAGGGGCAGAATCCAAACTTTCCTCTCACTCTCTCTTTTTTTTTTTTGAGCAATATGGAAAAAGAGAAGATGGTAATTGTAATTATACCATTACTACATACAGTTATTAGTTCAGACTTGACCTGGGATCCTAGAAGGATGAGTGAAGTATATTCAACTAATCTGTCGTTTTGAAGCTTTTATATGTATTATATTATAATATATATTATAATTTTATAACATTATAATAGAAAAATATGATATATGTAATATAAAAAGGTGTATACCACTTTAGAGCCATGGACTAAATGTTTACATCCCTAGGAATTTTTGAGAGATCTTGCTAACAGAATGAATGTCTGTCCTGCTACTGCCCTTTGATATGCTGAAGTTCAGTAGACTTATTGGTGATTCTTACTGCTGCAACTCTTAGAATATGAGGAATATATACACATTTCCCAGTCACATTTCCACAGAAATTCACAATCCCACAGGGATAGATACATCCCTGTTCAGAATGGTTGCCAAACCTAAAGTTACCAAAATACAACTGTACAAATGCTTTAATATTAAGAAGTAATTTGATCTTTTTTTACTTGCAGATAAATACCCTCCAGATAGCAGTTTACCACATTTTATAAAATGGGAGATGCCTAAAGCACAGAGATTAAATTAAATTTTCATGGGCACAGGTGCAGTGGCTAGCAGTATTAGCCAGGATCATATGTGGCTGGCTACCATTACGAAGATGGACAGAGAAGATCCTGATTTCTATTTCTGTGTTTAAACCAAAATTATTTCTTTACAGTAAATTTGTTAGATATATGTATCCCACTTAACTCAGCAGCTTGGTTTTAAAGTAGAGAATTACCCATTCTACTAGAGAATTACCCACACAGAACACTGTCTTATTACAAGTCTGAAGTATCATGTAAAAATATATAAAAGATTTTGTGTTCCATAAGAGTCAATGGAATGACATGAACAAACTGTTACATTTAAGTTAAACAGATCTCACCATGCCTCTGTCACCACAAACAAGCAAGGATGGGTTATGAATCCAAGTTGAAAAGAATGAAGGTGGCTAGCAACAATTTTTTTTTTTTTACAATGTAATTGTTAGTCAACCCTCCTGCTTCCAGATCTTCATAACCATGGACACAGAAAGTCCAAACCCTACAGGAGTGCATGTTTCACTGCTCCTTTACATTACCCTTAAAAAAAATACTACAAAGACTGAAAATATAATGGCATGTCCTAAACACCTTATTGGGACAATAAATACCTGGGCATTACCTAATCTATATAAATCTACTGAATTGCTTGATAATATAAAATATGAAACCAATAAGTTCTCTATTCCTCTACTAGTGAGGGGGCTCTAAAGAGAACTGCAAGAACAACAAGAACTGAAGGATTACACAGCCCATTACATGTAGCAATACAATTAGCAGTCAGTTTTATGGTCCAGAACCCTAACATTAGATAACTTCAACAATAAACACATTGTAAATGAATGATGGACACTGGACAAAAAATTAAAATTGTAATTATGAACACAATGAAATATACATGCAAAAATGTAGGTCAGTTTTTAGCATCTGGGGATCAAACTGAGTGAAAGATACCAAATTGAGTAGAGTTGCAGGTGTTCTGGAGGTCAGGGCTAGGATCCAGAATGACCTAGGGAGACTGAAGAAATGGTCCACAATCAACCAAATGAAATGCAAAAAAGACAAATGCAAGTCCTGCACTTGGGATGGAATAACTTCATGCACAAATACAGACTGAAGAATGACTGGCTAGGCTGGAGCACTGCAGAGATGGACCTGGGAGTTAACAGTAGACCAGAACCTGAAAGAGCCAACAGTGTGTTCTTGTTGCAAAAAAAGGGCAGCACCATACTGGGTTATATTAAAATGAATGTCGCTTGCAAATCAAGCGAAGCAGCTCTACCACTCTGTTCAGCACTGATGAGAAATCACCTGGAGTACTTTGTCCAGTTCTGGGCCCCACACTTCAAAAAGGATCTGGATGATTTGGAAAGAGTCCAGTGAAGAGCAACAAAAATGGTTAGGCGTCTGGGAAGACCGGTCTATGAGGAAAGGCTGAAAGAACTAGGGGAGATATAACAGTCTTCAAAACACCTGAAGGGCAGTTACAGAGAGGGTGAAGATGGGCTTCTCTGTGATCGTAGGGGGACAGACCTAGGAGTAATGGCCTCAAGCTTCGGCAGTGAAAATTTAGGTAGGATTTTAGGAGGAATATTCTATGAGGGTGGTTAAGAATTGGAATCAGCGACCTAGGGAAACTGTGGAATCTCCATTCTTGGAAGTTTTCAAGGAACAGGTTAGACAAACTTGGCTGGGATAGGTTAGTCAGGGCTACTCCTGCCTTGTGCGGGGGGATGGACTAGATGACCTCATGAGCTCCCTTCCAGTCCTACTGTCCTAATTCCTACAGAGAGTGAGTAGGTTATAACAATACTGGTTTCAAAGGAAGGAGGCTTAACAAAAGAAATGAGACCAAAAATATATATTCTCAAGACCAAAAATATATTCTCAATTCTTAAGTAATTACTGTAACAAAGTGGGGAGGGGGGATTCAAAAGAACTCACAGGTCCCCACTAGTATTTATTGTGTTTTATTATTTTCTTATTGTGCTACAAAGCAAGCAGGCACAAGGATAAAAAAGACAGTCCAGAGTTTAAGGCTGCCTGGAAAAGTAGGCAGCCTGAGGAGGCTGCAGATACAAAAAGGTAGAGACTAACAATCCAGAGAACCTGTCATAGCAATATGGCAGGCAAGATGGGACAGCAAGCTCAGGCACCTGGTAGTTAGACAGAAGTAAGCCAGGAAGCTTGCCACGAAAACAGAGCTAAGTTTGGAGCTAGGACTGCTTGCTAGACAGGCAGAAAGCCAACCAATCTAACGGCTTTTGTTTCCATTGAAAGTTTGTTACTGAGCTGACATATCTCCCACAAAGTTTCAAGATCATTGAATTTGCACTTTGACTGAGAGCTGTTCAGTTGGAAAAAAAAAACTGACCAGCTCTCATTTGTATCCTATACCAGTCCCTTGTAATACTCACAGTCCTCTCTGCTGGTCTCCCTTGGGAAGCCATATTGATCTCTCTTGTCTCAATGAGTAGTACTAAGTCAAGTGGGCCAGATGACTGAGCCCTCCCTCAGACCATGCATTTGTAGTACTCAATTCTGTTTCATATTCAGGAGTTTTTCCTTGATGTACATACCTGCAGCTCCCAACCATATCCCCCTAAAGTACTTCAAAAATCACCACAATAATATGCAGTTCCAGTGGTCTCCAACCAGAGGACATGATATGGAATTGCTTGGTCCTCTGTTATCCCCACCACAATACTCTGTAATCCACCTGCCTGGGGACGGGTAGAAAGGATAAATAGCCAATGAGCACAGAGACCAGAGCCTCCAGATACTGGATGCCAAGAATCATGCAGGGAATTTTGTTATCCAGTCAGGAGTGCTGGAGGGA